GAATTAGTATCACTGTTTATGAGTTTTTCGTTTAGATCATATATATCTTTGAGTTTGTTAAATTCATATTTGGAAATATTATTTTTCTCATATTCTTTGCATATAGGGTCATTTTCTTTGTTGTATTTATTGATAAATTTAATATAAATATCTAAAATTTCTGCGCTCGCATATTTTCCTTTACATTGATCATATAACCAGTAATACAAGTATAAGCAGCCGGAAACTTTGATGGTAGAATCATAACTTTGTATTTTATTTAAATAGTACATAGATTTGCGGCATATATTATTTTCATTATCAAAATTAACAAGCTGTGAAAATTCTTTAATATCATTGCATTCAGTTGGATACATGTACGTATATTGATCACTATGATTTTCTATAATACCTTGACAAAAAGAAAATTGCTTAACCAATTCATACTAAAGAGAAAAAAATAATTGAAAAAAAAAATAGTCTTATTTTGATCGATGTTTTATAAAATATATGGAACATAAATACGTAAATACACTGCATTTTATATTTTTATAATTATTATGTACAATATTTCCACCCATAAGTGATACTCTTATGTTTATATCTAAATAAAATTATTATTCTTATGCGTAAATATATATTAAATTGTGACCATTAGGTCACTAGTTACTTGAATGTTTGAACCCTAAATTATTTTTATTAAAATATTGATTTATTAATGCCATTCTCTCAATATATGTTTAATTATTTTGCATCCTAATATAGATCATGCGTAACTTGTAACATTTAATATATTTTATTCTATAATTAACGTCAAGAGGGAAAAACATAGATACGTAACTCTGAAATAATAAAATGTTATTTGTTAAAATATAATATCAATGTTATCATTATGAATAAAAGTTATATCTTATTAATAATTCACTGAATAAAGAATAATTATGAGTAAAAATTATATGTGCTGTTGTATATAACATATGTATAAAATATTTTGCTTAAGTCTTTATTGTATTTATTTCATTAGTATATAAAACCTAATCTTACGAATATAAAAGTTTTCAATAAATTGTCTTACATTCAATGATTTTGCAATTTGAACAATTATATATTAAAATAGATATAAAATTATTAAATTACATTTTCTTAATTTGCATTATATACATATAAGTCATATGAATAAAATGAATGAAGATTATAATGTAATATAACAGTCATTGTGGAGATAAGAAGCAATGTAACATAATATTATAAATTATATACAAAATTTTCAGGTTTTAGGATTCATAATATAGTGTATACTGTATTAGTGCTTAGTTTTTAGTTATATTTACATTATATGTTTGTCTAAATTAATAGATTTTATTTTTTCTATTTATATTTATTTATGTATGTATGATATTTTATGTTATTTTTTTTACTTTACATTTTTGTATTAAGAAATTCAGAATTCATTTCATTATTATATAGATATATATTATTGTTCTATTCATTAGTAAATCTGAATTTTTTTTTGTTTTTTTTTATATCCGAATTTTTAAAATTACAAATAATAATTATTTATATATTTTTTAATATTGAGTAATCCGTACAAAATTAATATATTGTGTAAATATATACGTACTTATTTAATTAAAATAGGAATCATTGTAATATATGTAAATATTTGTAATAAAAAATATTATGTTCAAACTGTGTTTCTATAAATTATATTATATAATTTTGGAATGAAATATTACTTATATTTTGTAACATTAAAAATTCTTTAGAATATTGAAATTTTATTATATATGTCGGAAGCAGCACATTCTTAATGTGAACATGAGGAATTAATGAAATATTTAAAAAAAAAAAAATTCTGTTTTATTTTTATTTAGTAGATTTTCTCTTAAATAGCATATTTTACCAATATATTCTCATTAAATATAACCTATGATATACGTATTTTTTATGTATATTGAGCAATATAAAAACACATCTCTACTTAGACTATGAATTATAGTAATGTTTTACATATTTTGTTCTTATTTATGTAATTAATTTTTAGGAATTTATTTAATAATTGAGAATAAACAGGTTAATTATTAATTAATATTTTGAGTACATTTAAAGTGTATAAATTCTGTAATATTAAAATATTATATATTTAAAAGATACTAATATGGAATGTAGAAAGGTAAAAAACTAGACATATTTTTAATTCTTCAAACGACATATAATTTATTTACCATGTTCAAGAGATAAAATAGGATATCTTTGGCTTCATGATTATATGTATATTCTTTCCAGATTAAACAGCGACCATATATTAGATATTTTATGGATGATAAATAAGGTGTATAAATATATGCTGAATAATATATTATAAAGTCTGCTTAAAATAATATCTATAAAAAATAATCTCGCAACAATCATTGTAGAATACGGTCTAATAAATTTAAACACATTATATTTTTGAAAAAAATGATTTAATTACTTTTTATTTTAATTTATTCTCAAGCGATTATATTATTAAGTTCCCATAATATTCAAAAGATGAAAAATACACTCCATCATATTTTATATATGAATTTATGCAATTTAATTATAAAAAAATAATATGATGCTTTTTAAAGAAAATATAAAAGTATCCTTAAGACCAATTCATATAATTAATTTTCCTATAATATACACATTTATAAGAATGAATTGTGGTTATATATGCATTAAAATTTAGCAAACAATGAATGAATTA